GCCTTCACACGGAGGGGCACTTAGGGCCAAACTGGCTTTTACGGGTGGTGATATCGAGGACTAAATTTAGCCTTTATGGATCATATCACCCGGGGGAGCACGCTGCTTTGCGGAAGAGGACCAAACTGGCCTTTTGCAGATGGTGGTACTTGAAGCGAAGAAGCTGGAAACGGAGAAAGAAGTTCGTGTTGTGTTGCCGGAAGAGAAATATCTGGCCGGCCTGGAAAAAATCATCGTCCGAGATTATTTTCCGGAGTTGCCCAAACTTCGAGTACGTTTCCGTGATTCGTTCAGATTGTAATTAGTCAAAATTGAATTTCCATTTGTGCCTTACAGTCGAAAATAGCTGGGAAAATATACTTTTGCCTAATACTATAAGCATGTTTGTAGCTGCACGATGGCCCACTTTTGTGGAGGCAACTTGAGATGCCAAATTGGTGGCGATTTTAAGTGCCCTGTATAATCTGTTCATATGCCAGTACCAGTTTACTATTGAAATGAGTCTGTATATTACGGAAGAGCCGGTTCTTCGGCGATAAGGGTACTTCTTTCAAAAAGCTGTTCATCTTAGTGAATTTTTTGGCGCAAATTATGGGGTTTTTTTTGGAAATTTTGCAAATTTTGTGCTTAACAAAAGAGCTGTAACATGACAGTCTACGTATGCCCCTCACAAGCACTCTGTAGCGCTGGTTCAGCTCAGCAGTTCTACCCTAAATCTGGCTGAAGATTTTGCTTATCAGTTATAGTTTCGAAAAATTCCTTGTCTTTTTTTTTGCGGTGCAACCCCACTGAGATAGCAATTGAGACAGCAGTGTGACGAAAAGTGACAACCGTTGCTTGGAGATGGGGACGCAATGACAGCAATGTTAATGTTAATGTTAATGATAATAATAATAATAATAATAATAATAATAATAATAATAATAATAATAACAATGATAATGATAATGATGGCACTGATAGTAATAATAATAGTAGTAATAGCAATAATAGTTATGATAATGATGACAATGGTAATAATAATAGACAATAGTATTGAGGATGAGAAAGATAATCTGTTAGACGGAGAACTCTTATGCAAAATGCATTAATTCGCCCATTGGTAGTTTGAGCTTCTGAGCGGCTGTTTGATTCCAGAAGTGTTAAATTTTTGCATAATTTTAATGGATTTTAAGGCTAATTTTAAGGCATTGGTTGATTTTAAGCGAAAACAGTTTGTGATGCAGTTATCTAAAGAGTTGTGCTAAATTGGTTTAAGATCAGTTTTGCCTCACTAAAACAGCACCATTTAGGCGCAAAAAGAATACTTGGATGCTGTTGCATCGAACGATTTGACGAAGATTCGAGAACTTCAACTACGATACAGTACGAGGCGAACAGATAGGCGCACCTCTCCGGTCGTTCACACGCCGGCCGAATTCGATCCGAGTACTCCCGGGCCAAGTTTGGCGCACACGGAGTCACAAGTTGGAAGAGAAAGCGATGCTAAAACATCTGTTGATAAAGTATGGAGTTTTTTTTTCCGGCAATATTAAGAAAAATAGAATACAGCTTTTGACTTTTTGTTTCAACGAGACATATGTATTTTGATTCCAAATGTGCTTTTTTTTAGCATAAATTTGCTCAAGAAGCTACCGTATTTCCCGCAAAAATTTGATTTCTTTTTATAATTAGTACAGTACTGAAAAAGTTTCCTCTTTTGCGTTGAGGTGTGTTTGTGTTGCTTGACCAGAACTGGAGGCTTTCAGCCTGAACTGAGGTATGCGTCTGGTGGTTTTTTCTAGATTTTGAGTTTTTTGTCTAAAAAAAGATGTGACAGTGCTGATGCTTTACTTAAATAATGGCTTTCTGGCCTGAATTTTGGCCTGTGTTTGAGCAGATGGCTTCAATGCTGTGGCTAAAAAGCATATTGCCATCAACATGATGGAAATTACCGCCAGTCCTTGCGTTTTGAAAAATTGGTACTGTATCTGATATAATACGAGATAAATTCTTCGGATCTCGAGATTGTATAAGAGCAGATACTCTCCATATTACAGGCCTTGTGAGAAAATGGATTTTGCATTGCTTCTGTTTTCGAGAAATTTTTAGTTTTTCGGTGGATGGAACTTATACACGTTATATCAATACGGGGCTCAGAGTGAGAAGTGCTTAACAGTCTGTGTTTCATCCCTTAGCTATGAATAGAGAGCAGATCGCATGAGCAGGAGTAGGAATCATCAGTAGAGCCTCCTATCCGCTATTTTTACGGTGGACATGTTTTTGGCCATTGGGGAATAGATGAAGAGAAAACATTTGGAGAAGAATGGAAAAAAAGAGGTATAAAGAGAGAAGAGATGCGAAGAATTTATTATTAAAAAGACAAAAAAATGTTTTATGATTGACAAAAATCGCTTCATTTTTCAGTTTTTTCCTTTTTGAGCATCCAAAATATACTAGTGTAATGTACGTAATTGCAGAAGAAGAAGGGTGGCGACGAAAAGCTTACAGTGGATTCCTATCTGAACAAGTACACAAGCGAGGATAATGCCTCATTTGA